GTAGGAACCCGGGGTGTGTATGGGGGGGTCGCTGTGTTCAAGGTAGGGACCCAGGGTGTGTATGGGGGGTCGCTGTGTTCAAGGTAGGACCTCGGGGTGGGGGGTCACTGTGTTCAAGGTAGGGACCCGGGGTGTGTATGGGGGGGGTCGCTGTGTTCAAGGTAGGACCTCGGGGTGGGGGGTCGCTGTGTTCAAGGTAGGGACCCGGGATGTGAATGAGGGGGTCGCTGTGTTCAAGGTAGGACCTCGGGAGGGTGTGGCCAGGATCACCTGCTGTGTGCCCTTGAAGTAGTTCGCACGTTCACCTCAAAGGATGACGTGGCTGAGTCGCTGCAGTCTTGACCCAGGGTTCACAGACTGAGCTGAACTAATGGCGCTTGGCTTGTTTCCCCAGAGATGCTTCACCTTCATGGACAGGGGCTTCGTCTTCAAGCAGATCAACAACTACATCAGCTGCTTCGCTCCTGGGGACCCCAAGGTAGCTCGGCTACTGGCGCCATTCACACCTAAACGTGCTGTTCTCTCAGCTCTTACAGATTTCCTTTCCAATCCTCGCTAACTCCGTTCTGCTCTTGGCATACTGGCTCTCACTGGTGTGAGCAAGTGTGAGGTATTAGGAATCAAGTAGCCCTGACAAGAAATGGGCACGCCTGATGCTTTGTTCTCTTCCAGCCCGAAGGCTGTGCTGTTGGCCACAGATCAGCCACGACCTCATGACCTTCCTAGCGGACTGTCTTTCTTTCCATCCTTCCGCTTACAATTTTATGTAAATTGTAGTGAGTTTGCGTAATTATAACCCACTTACAGCCCTTTTAAGACGTGGAGGAGCATAAATATCAGATGCTGTAAGTCTGCCGAGGCATTATTCACCAAGAGTGTTTTCGGCTTTCACAAGTCCCTGCAGCCCTCCAACATCTGTAAAGAAACACATGCTGGCTCCATGGCCAGGGGCTAGCACTAAACGTTTCTATGCCTTACTTCTAATGGGTGTGTGAGAATCGGGTCCAGTGTGCAGTGAGGGGGTCATACCTAAGCATTTCTTCCTGCAGACCCTCTTTGAATACAAGTTCGAGTTTCTCCGAGTGGTGTGCAACCATGAACACTATATTCCTTTGAACTTGCCGATGCCATTTGGAAAGGGCAGGATTCAGAGATACCAAGGTAATGTGTCGCGGCGTAGATTCAGCTTTTCTGACAAGCACCATATCATGTTAAATAAGAAAAGTATTGATTCAAACCCATAATTTGATTTTATTCATAGGTAAGAGGTGTGTGTGTGTGTGATTTATATTTTCAAAATTGTTGATGAAATCTTATGTGGAGCCTGGCTTTTGAGGAAGGTTAGAGACGGCCATACAGATGTGAGTTGGGCCTGAAGCTTTCTGGGCCCATCAGAAATAAGCATCGTGACTGTTTTTCATTTTAAAATTCTTTTACTTAAATACCAGAAGTGTCTTATTTACGGCATTTGTTTTGTTTTGCTTCCCCCTTGTAAATTAGCTTTTCTTTCAGCAGCTGAGGAGTTCAGTGACACTCCTGTAGGTAGGTGTGGGTGGAGGCTTGCCTGGCCCTCTCCTCCGTTAAAAGCAAGCGACACAAGCGACCACCCCGCTGTTTCGTGCTGTCGTTTGTGCAGGCAGCTGCACATGCGCTCAGTGGTCAGTGTCTGGGGAATGGGGGCGTTTGCTGTCCATGGAACTAAGGCATCGCTGTCACATCCTGGAGATCCGTTCTGTTGTAGGAAGCAGAACAGACAAAGCCATGTGTGTCCCAGATCACACCCCTCACTTGCATAGCCCCTGCCCGTGGAGGCAGCCTGAGCTCAGCATGGCTGTCACGGGAGCTTTCCATGTCTGCATGCCGTGTCCCGTGGGCCCGCCACGCCTGCGGAGACATGCGCTCAGAGAGCTGGCCTTGCTGAAGAGATTCTGTGCCTCTCTGCTGGGTCACGGCTGAACTCTGCAGCGAGCCCATGAGTTACTCTCTCCCCGAGAGCCCTCGGGTGCCCGCCGCATGCTCAGTCTGCAGAAACCGTCCACTAAGCCTTGGCATGATGGCTTTGGAGGAGCAGACACTGTCCTTTCTTCCGACACATTCTGGGGGTTCTGGCCGTGGACTCACAAGGACCTGTCACAAAGGCGTTGACAGTCAGGCCCGAGGGTTGTTCCCGGGTGGTGCCTGTCAGCGTGCTGTCGGCCTTCCTGGGCTTCTGCGGTCTGGGGTGACCACCCTCCTCGCCCTCTTGCACTGGGATCGCCTCTGTCCCCTCTTCTGCAAAGGAGCTCACAGAGGCGCTGCTGCTTTCACACTGTGCGCACTTTGGTTTTACTCACAGAGGGACATTTTAGAAAAGTCTATAGAAATAACTTTCTTGTTCAATGATAGCAGAATAAATAGGTTACACACTGAGGTATCATTCAAAGTGTATTGACTTTTTCTGGGGCTAGAACAGGCATTGGTAGCCAGGGAGTGGATAGCTGAACTCAAGAAATAACTGACCTTTAACGAATCATATGTATTAATTTTCTTTAATGGTGTGGTTTTATTAAATCGATCTATAGTTTTGTTAGTACAATTACTTCATTTAAAAGAACTGCCTATAACATTTTTACTGTGATTGTTGTGTTCTCTGAAACTTGGCCAGAAGTGCCTTCTCCTCAGCGTTCGGGGCAGCTCCTGGGCGCTGCTCTGTGCTCCTGGGAGCATGGGGCATGGGGCATAGAGCCAGGGAGTGGGGCGGTCCTGCAGAACGGCCTGAGGGAGGCAGGGTTGGTTGCCTGTGCGTGGAGACAGACAGCGGTGCCCCTGGGCACGGGCAGCGCCAGGCCCTTCTGAGGTCGTCTGCTTTCTCAGATCTGCAGCTGGACTACTCCTTGACGGATGACTTCTGCAGAAACCACTTCCTGGTGGGGCTGCTGCTGAGAGAGGTGGGCACGGCGCTGCAGGAGCTCCGGGAGGTGCGTGTCATCGCCGTCAGCACGCTCAAGAACCTGCTCATAAAGCACTCCTTCGACGACAGATACGCGTCCAGGGTGAGCGCCCCAGGGGTGTGCTGGGAGTGGCCCAGGGAACGAGCCGGCCCCGCCCCCGCGCCCGCAGGGGCTCTGACCCTGCGTCTCTCTGCAGAGCCACCAGGCCAGGATAGCCACCCTGTACCTGCCGCTGTTCGGGCTGCTCATTGAGAACGTCCAGCGCATCAACGTGAAGGAGGTGTCGCCCTTCCCGGGGAACCCCGGCACTGTAAGCACAGCTGCCCCGCCCTCTGCAGTGTCCTTGGGGCGCGGGCTCTGGGTGTCTTGGGCTGCGGGGAGGGTGGTCTCTCTCTTCCGGCGTCGCTGGCTCCGCCGCCGCCGCTCACCGCTTTGCCTCCGTCCGCACACGGGGTTGTGAGTCAGTGAGCCCAGCCCTTTCTTTGTCTTGTAAGGAGGACACAGGTGTTCGCATGTAGAGCCCACGCAGTATGACCTGCTCTTAGTTTACGTCTTATTTGCGTGTGGAATGATCCCATTTCCAAGTGAGATCACGTGCTGAGGCCCCAGACACACAGGAGTTTCAGGGTGCTCGGCGCCCGCTGCCGTCTCTCCCCTTATCCCGCTAACGTCACCACATCACACAACAGAATCAGACAGTAAACTTTCCACCCTGGCTCTAGTAATAGCCTAATTCCATCTGTTCAACAAAATGGGTGTGGGAGCACATGCCTGCTATTCCGGCACTCAGCAGGCAAAGGCAGGGTTGCAAGTTGAAGGCTAGCCTGGGCTACATGGGGCTGTATATCAAAATAAGGAATGGGGATTATGGAACAAAAAGCTGGCTTGGTGCTAACCTGTGTCCCTCATTGCTCATGTCGGCCTCACCTCTGACTGCAGCCCAGTGCCCGTCCTGTGAGCTCCTGATGGTGCCCGTTCTGTGAGCCCACCCCTGGGAGCTCCTGTTCCTCTTCATTAGTCTGTAAGTCAGTGAGGTCAGGAAGAGGCACGAGGCATGCAGCCAAAACGGTCACTCACATAAAGCAAATAAAATCAGGATAAAAGCATTTTTAAAGCACTAATATCCAGTTTCTTGTCATCATTCACGTGCAAAAGGCTTTTTCCTCATTAATATGTGATGATAAGCAAGTGCTCACATAGTGTGTATGTGTGTGTATGTGCATGTGTGTCTGCTTGTGCGTGTGTGTATGTGTGTGCACAGATGTGTGTGGTGTGTAAAGAGGACAACATCTTCCTCAGTCCCTCTCCACCTTATTTTTGCGGTGGGAGACAGGGTCTCCCACGGAACCACAGCTCACTGACTAGACAGACTGGCTTCATGCTGAGCTCTAGAGGTTTCCCTGTTTGTCCCATCCCGGTGCTGGGGTCACAGGCACACCCCACCCCGCCCAGCTTTGTGGTTGTTGGGGATCCGAACTCCGGTCGTTGTGCTTGCTCACAGAGCGAAGCCTCCCCCGGCCCATTTCTTGTTTCTAACACTTACCAAAATGTTGTAAACCAAAGCCTGTGCTTTCCTCCCCAAGCTCTTTGCCCATGCTTAGAGCCCTGTACCACACAACTACTGTTGACTTTGACAGATACCACTACTGTCCTTTGCCCTTATGTTCTTGGCTATTGTCAGTGTGGCTACCTTGTCATTGTGGTGTATATTGGGTTGTTTGTTTGTTGTTTAAGGTGTTTATTTGTTTTGTCTGTGTGGGTGTTTTGCGCACATACATGTCTGTGCACCACGTGTGCAGTACCTGTGGAAGCCAGAAGAGGGTGTTAGGTCCTCAGGAATCAGCATCACAGGTGTTCCCGAGCCATCATGTGGGGCTGAGAATAACTCAGGTCCTCTAGAGGGACAGCGTCTCTCCCGCCCCCTCACAGCCTCCCCCTTAAATAATTGTAGGGGATCCAGGTCGGAGCACTCGCTCTTCTGTTTGCAGTGGCGCAGTGTCACTTGCTGATCTGCGTCAGCTGGGTGCCTGTCACACGCGTGCCTGCTCGCTCCACATGCTTCTGTGAGCAGAGCAGTTCAGCACGTGGCCTCCCTGTCCCGTCCCAGCGCTGAGGAAAATGAACAGAAGGTCTTGCTTTGGGGTCCACCAAAGTAAAATCCACCTATTGATGGAACTTTAGAGTTCATCATTTCTCCTTGGCAGAGCATCCCGTCTGAGCATCCCAAGGCCATAGCTGGCGCCTCTGAGAAGGACAGGGCAACCTGACCACAGTCAGAAATAGGAGGGTTTCCTTCTCTGCGGGAGGGAAGGTAGGAGTGTGGCCAGGGCGAGATGGAAGGCCTGTTGGGTGCAGAGAGGAGAGATGAGTGCACAGGAGCAGGCTTCCTCTGCCTCCTCACTTTAGGATCGTGGCCTTCTCTGTGTTCTCCTGCTCTGTGTTCTCTGTGTTCTCCTGCTCTGTGTTCTCTG